TGGAGACAACACAACATTATGTTTGTTGTCTTTGATAAACCTGACAAAAACAAGCAATGGGGAAAGGATTCCGTGTAATAAATGGTGTTGGGAAAACTGGCTAGCCATGTGCAGAAAGCAGAAACTGGACCCCTTCCTGACACCTTACACTAAAATTAACTCCAGATGGATTAAAGACTTAAACATAAGACCTGGCACCATAAAAACCCTAGAAGAAAATCTAGGCAAAACCATTCAGAACATAAGAGTAGACAAGGACTTCATGACCAAAACACCAAAAGCATTGGCAACAAAAGCCAAAATAGACAAATGGGACCTAATCAAACTCCACAGCTTCTGCACAGCAAAAGAAACAGTCATTACAGTGAATCGGCAACCAACAGAATGGGAAAAAATTTTTGCAGTTTACCCATCTGAACAAAGGGCTGATATCCAGAATTTACAAAGAACTAAAACAGATTTACAAGAAAAAAACAAACAAGCCCATTCGAAAATGGGCAAAGGATATGAACAGACACTTTACAAAAGAAGACATACATGAGACCAACAAACATATGAAAAAATACTCATCATCACTGGTCATTAGAAATGCAAATCAAAACTACATTGAGACACCATCTCACGCCAGTTAGAATGGCGATCATTGAAAAATCTGGAGACAACAGATGCTGGAGAGGATGTGGAGAAATAGGAACACTTTTACACTGCTGGTGGGAGTGTAAATTAGTTCAACCATTGTGGAAGACAGTGTGGCGATTCCTCAAGGACCTAGAAATAGAAATTCCATTTGACCCAGCAATCCCATTACTGGGTATATATCCAAAGGATTATAAATTGTTCTACTATAAGGACACATGCACACGAATGTTCATTGCAGCACTGTTTACAATAGCAAAGACCTGGAACCAACCCAAATGCCCATCGATGATAGACTGGACTGGGAAAATGTGGCACATATACACCATGGAATATTATGCAGCAATCAAAAATGATGAGTTCGTGTCCTTTGTAGGGACATGGATGAATCTGGAGAACATCATTCTCAGCAAACTGACACAAGAACAGAAAATGAAATACCACGTGTTCTCACTCATAGGCAGGTGATGAACAAGGAGAACACATGGACACAGGGAGGGGAGCACTACACACTGGGGTCTATTGGGGGTAATAGGGGAGGGACAGCGGGGGGTGGGGAGCTGGGGAGGGATAGCATGGGGAGAAATGCCAGATGCGGGTGAAGGGGAGGAAGGCAGCAAATCACACTGCCACGTATGTACCTATGCAACTATCTTGCATGTTCTGCACATGTACCCCAAAACCTAAAATGCAATAAAGAAAAAGAAATCTTAAACTTACCAAGGTTTTCACCAAAAGTAAAGGGTTTTACCAAAGGTTTTTACCAAAAGTAAAAGTCACTAAGAGCTATCATTGTAACCTGTAATTGAGACTACTGAAGAAACAAGTTTACATGAAAGCTATGTAAGAAAAGTGAAATGTGTTTTTGGTAAAAGATTATAAGCAGGCATGGGAATATGGATTTTTTTTTTTCTGCCTAAAGGGTTAAAAGATCGTTTTAAGTTAGGATAAAGCTAAAGGTTTGAACAAGTTGTGAAAGGTTCATTAAAAAATTTAATCTTGTAAAAAATTCTGGGTCAAGTGCGATGGTGCATGCCTGTAATCCTAGCACTTTGGGAGGCTGAGGTGGGTGGATCACCTGAGGTAAAGAGTTCTAGACCAGCCTGGCCAACATGGTGAAACCTTATCTCTACTAATAATATAAATATTAGCCAGGTTTGGTGGCGGGGACCTGTAATCTCAGCTTCTAGGGAGGCTGAGGCAGAAGAACTTCTTGAACCCAGGAGGCAGAGGTTACAGTGAGCTGAGACTGCACTATTGCACTCCAGCCTGGGCAACAGAGCAAAGACTTCACCTCAAATAATAATAACAAAAGTTTAAAACACTTCATATTATGAAATAGAATTCCAGGTTACCATAAGTCATTCATTTAGCCAAAATGATGACTAAAAAACATTTTGAAAGGCAAAAACCTGCCAGGAGCAGTGGTTCACACCTGTAATCCCAGCACCTTGGGAGGTTGAGTCAGGTCGATCATGAGGTCAGGAGTTCAAGACCAGCCTGGCCAAGATGGTGAAACCCTGTCTCTACTAAAAATACAAAAATTAGCTAGGTGTGGTGGCAGGTGCCTGTAATCCGAGCTATTCGGGAGGCTGAGGCAGAGAATTGCCTGAACCCAGGAGGCGGAGGTTGTAGTGAGCCAAGATTGCACCACTGCACTCCAGCCTGGGTGACAGAGGAAGACTCCATCTCAAAACAAAAAAAAGAAAGGCAAAAACCTTTACTCATTGACTGAGGGAAGACTTAGCTTTCCAAACAATCTGTCTCTTGTCTTTTCCTTCTTCCTTTTTTTTTTTCAATAGTTTATTCAAAAGGCAAACAAGGCCAGCTGCAGTGGCTCATGCCTGTATTCCCAGTGCTTTGGGAGGCTAAGGCAGGCAGATCACAAGGTCAGGAGTTCCAGACCACCTGGCCGACATGGTGAAACCTCATCTCTACTAAAAATACAAAAGTTAGCCAGGTATGGTGGCAGGTGCCTGTAATCCCAGCTACTCAGGAGGCTGAGGCAGGAGAATCACTTGAACCCGGGAGATGGAGGTTGCAGTGAGCTGAGATTGCACCACAGCACTCCAGCCTGGGCAACAGAGCGAGACTCCATCTCAAAAAAAAAAAAAAGGCTAGCAAAAATCTTTCATTATCTTTTAAAATTACATGAAAATCTTCTTCAAAAGAGAAAGCCAAATTTCACCCTTGCGTTACTGTACTATTAATGTCAACCACAACCCCAGTTTTTAATGAAACCTTACAGGCAAATCTTTCCAATCTTTTTTTGAAATGGATTATTTAACTTATTTATCAGCTCACCTTTAACTTATTTAATAGGCTTCCCAAAATCAAATTTCAGCTTCAAAATTGTCCTTTGTTTTTCTTTTTTTTTTTTTTTTTTTCTTTTTGAGAGGGAGTCTCACTGTGTTGCCCAGGCTGGAGTGCAGTGGCACTATCTCGGCTCACATCAACCATTGCCTTCCAGGTTCAAGTGATTCTCCTGCCTCGGCTGCCTGAGTAGCTGGGACTACAAGTACACACCACCATACCAGGCTAGTTTTTTGTGTTTTTAGTAGAAACAGGGTTTCACCATGTTGACGAGGCTGGTCTTGAACTCCTGACCTGAGGTAATCTGCCCGTCTTGACTTCCCAAAGTGCTGGGATTACAAAATTGTCTTTTCTGACCTCTAACTTTGAGATACTACGAGGGCTCCTGAAGCATTCAAAAGAGAGGTAAACAGGATTATTTGACATGTTTAGTTACCTGGGAAGCATTGTCAAAATAAAAAAATGTTTAATCTTCTTCAGGTCTTATTTTGGTGAATATTAACAAATGTTAGAAAATGGTGTGGGATTTCTAAAATTCTAAATGTCTGAGTATATGCTATCAATCATAATTATGTTTATTATGTAAAGTTACTGTAGAACACAGAAATAAGCCAATTTCCCTGTTAAAAAAACTGCTAACCCAAGTAGAACAAAAATTAATTGAATACCAAGAAAATACATTCCCCGATTTGCATGCTGCTGATACTGAAATTGTTTAGATATACAATTTGAATGAACTCCACAGTCTAAGTCAAATTACCTGAGATAACCCATTAGTTATCAGTGCTATGCCTCTAAATTGGAGAAACAGGTGGGCGCGGTGGCTCACGCCTGTAATCCCAGCACTTTGGGAGGCTGAGGCGGGTGGATCACAAGGTCAGGAGTTCAAGACCATCCTGGCCAAGATGGTGAAACCCCATCTCTATTTAAAATAAATAAATAAATAAATAAATAAAATAAGTTGGAGAAACAATTGATATGCAAAGGAATATAAATCCAATGTTAAGCAGAACTCATGGAGAACCAGGACGGCCACCTGTTCTTCCTGAATCCTTCGAGCTTTTGCTATTAAAGGTTATGCATTCCATGACTCATCATGGAAAAGAGAAAATGATCCAAATTAAATATATATTGGTGTGCTAGCTTATACATTGCTAACGCAGTTTATAACCAATGTTTGGTTAGTCAAATTCATATTCTTGGGAAGACAAAGCTTCAGTCTGCTTGCCTTGGCCTCCCAAAGTGCTAGGATTACAAATGTGAGTGTACTTTCATTTTCAATAAATCTCTGCTTTTTTTTTTTTTTTTTTTCCAGAGGGAGTCTTGCTCTGTTGCCAGGCTGGAGTGCAGTGGCGGGATCTCAGCTCACTGCAGCCTCTAACTCCTGGGTTCAAGGAATTCTCCTGCCTCGGGCTCCCAAGTAGCTGAGATTACAGGCGCACATCACCACCCCCAGCTAATTTTTGTATTTTTAGTAGAGACAGGCGGGCTGATCACAAAGTCAGGAGTTTGAGACCAGCCTGGCCAACACAGTGAAACCTCATCTCTACTAAAAATACAAAAATTAGCTGAGCATGGTGGCACGTTCCTGTAGTCCTAGCTATTCAGGAGGCTGAGGCAGGAGAATCACTTGAACGCAGGAGCAGAGGTTGCAGTGAGCCAAGATGGTGCCACTGTACTCCAGCCTGGGCAACAGAGCTAGATTCTGTCTCGAAAAAAAAAAAAAACTCACATAAAACGAAACATACTTTTTAATAATTAAAAGAAAATCACCTAATCCAAACTCCACTACCACCACCTGCCACCCCACACCCAAATCCACCCAGTGCTCAAATACATATCTAACTTAAGCCATGTATATAATTTAACATATTCTAGTAACTACCAAAAGAGTAAAAAGAAAGAGTTGAAATTAATTTTAATAATATCTCATTTAACTCAACAAATCTGAAATATTATCTTTCAACATGGTATGAATATAAAAAATCGTTAAGGAGATTTTTTTGTTTGAAATTGTCTTGCCAGATTCAGTGGCTCATGCCTGTAACCCTAGCACTCTGGGAGGCCAAGGCAGGAGGATTGCATGAGTATAGGTGTTGGAGACCAGGCTGGGCAAGATGACAAATCTCTGTCTCTACAAAAAATACAAAAATTTGGGCATGGTGGCACATGGCTGTAGTCCCAGCTACTAAAGAGGCTGAGGTGGGATGATTTCTTGAACTCAAGAGGTCAAGGCTGCAGTGAGCCATGATTGTGCCTGGGTGACAGAGCAAGACCCTGTCTCAAAAATAATAATCATAATAAATAATAAATTTAAAAAAATCTCGGTATAGAACAGCTACATTTCAATGTGATCATTAGCCACATGGGGCTGGTGAATGAAGCGCAGCCTTAAAAGGATCCAATTCCATCCTCAGACCGTTCTGATAGGAAGTTTTCCCCCAGATGGTAAAATAATGCTGACTTTGTTTCTTCTTTAGGCTTTTTTTTTTTTTTTTTTGAGATGGCATTTCACTCTTGTTGCCCAGGCTGGAGTGCAATGGCTCAATCTCTGCTCACCGAAACCTCTGCCTCCCAGATTCAAGTGATTCTCCTGCCTCAGCCTCCCAAGTAGCTGAGATTACAGGCACGTGCCACCACATCCAGCTAATTTTTTAGTTTTAGTAGAGATAGGGTTTCTCCATGTTGGTCAGGCTGGTCTCAAACTCCTAACCTCAGGTGATCCACCTGCCTCAGCCTTCCAAAGTGCTGGGATTACAGGCATGAGCCACTGCACCCAGCTTCTTTAGGCGTTTTGCATTTTCTGACTTGTTTACCATGGACATGCATGAGTATGCAGTCAGGATAGGAATAAGTACTAAGTGTTACGAGTGTTCACATAGGAGCCACCCAATCCTGGCTTTGCAGGTCAGGGGAAGGTTTCAGGAGGAAGATACAAAGGAATGAACGTAATTAATCCTAAAATTAGATTTTATTCTGTTCAATTTATAATTATTCTTTTTTTTTTTTTTTTTTTTTTTTGAGGCAGAGTCTTGCACTGTCGCCCAGGCTGGAGTGCAGTGGTGCAGTCTTGGCTCGCTGTAACTTCTGGTTCCCAGGCTCAAGTGATTCTCCCGCCTCAGCATCCTGAGTAGCTGGGATTAATAGGCGCCCATCCCCGAAACCAGCTAATTTTTGTATTTTTCGTAGAGACAGGATTTCACCATGTTGGGTAGGCTGGTCTCAAACCCCTGACCTCAGGTGATCTACTCACTTCAGCCTTCCAAAATGTTGAGATTACCGGCATGAGCCACTGCAGCCAACCAATTATTCTTTATATTTAGATGCCTGATGTACTCTTCTGTATGTATATTTCATACTCTAAAAGATAGGTCTATTTTCCGGTAGCAATGAGCAATGACCCGGGACTCAGATTTCAGCTTCTAAATGCCATTCTTCAATCATAGGAACCAGGAATCTAAGAAGAAATGGCTGTTTCTAGGATGTGGGCAGGGAAAAGACATGATGAGCCCAGAGCATCTTCTTTTTCTTCTTTTACATGCTTTGTTTTTCTGTCATCCTAGAGCATTTTGTAGTGCCAGAAAGCAAGGAAGTACTCTAAAAACAAAAGGATGAAGGCACATTAAAGGGACACAGAAGTCAACAGGAAAGGGTTCCCAATGGCCAAAGCTGGAATAATTTGAGCAACAAAATAAATAACATAGTGTTGGATTATAACCCAAAGGATAAAGCAAATGTACATGAGTTCATACCAATAGAAATAAATTATTGAATAAGTAAACGAGGGAGAAAAATGAAAAAATTAGCCAGGTGTGGCCAAGCATGGTGGCTTACTCCTGTAATCCCAGCACTTTGGGAGGCCGAGGCAGGTGGATCACCTGAGGTTGGGAGTTCGAGACCAGCCTGAGCAACATGGAGAAACCCTGTCTCTACTAAAAGTACAAAATTAGCCGGGCATGGTGGCACATGCCTGTCTTCCCAGTTACTCAGGAGGTTGAGGCAGGAGAATCGCTTGAACCCAAAAGGCAGAGGTTGCAGTGAGCTGAGATCGTGCCATTGCTCTCCAGCCTTGGCAACATGAGCAAAACTCCATCTCAAAAAAAAAAAAAAAATTAGCCAAGCATTATGGCACATGCCTGTAGTCCCAGATACTCAGGAGTCTGAGGTAGGAGGATTGCTTGAACCCAGGAGTTTCAGCTGTGGTCATGCTACTATACCTCAGCCTGGGCAACAATGCAACAAAGAGGGACCCTGTCAAAAAAAAAGAAAAGAATTGCAAGCTGGGTGTTGTGGCATGTGCCTGTGTCCAAGCTACTCCAGAGGCTGAGGAGGGAGGGTTGCTTGAGTCCAGGAGTTCAAGGCTGCAATAAGCTGTGATTACATCATGGCACTCCAGCCTAGGGGACAGTGGGAGATCCTTTCTCTAAAAGTAAAATAAAATAATTTTATTTAACAATTTAAAACGTTTTAATTTTAATTAATTAATTATTTTTGAGATGGAGTTTCTCTCTTGTTACCCAGGCTGGAGTGCGATGGCATGATCTCCACTCACTGCAACCTCTACCTCCTGGATTCAGGCGATTCTCCTTCCTCAGCCTCCCAAGTAGCTGGGACTACAGGCATGCACCACTATGCCTGGCTAATTTTTTTGTATTTTTAGTAGAGACAAGATTTCACCATGTTGGCCAGGTTGGTCTTGAACTCCTGATCTTAAGTGATCTGCCCACCTCAGCCTCCCAAAGTGCAGGTATTATAGGTGTGAGTCACTGCACCCAGCCTGATTTTAATTTAAAAAAAAAAATTTTATGCCTGTATTCCAAGCACTTTGGAGGCCAAGGCGGGCGGATCACCTGAGGTCAGGAGTTCAAGACCAGACTGACCAACATGGTGAAATCCCATCTTATTAAAAATAAATAAATAAAATAAATTTTTAAATTAACCTAAAATAATTTATGTTGATGCTCCCCAATCTAGAAAATGGGATTTAAGTTCATCCTCCACCTCCCCACCCCCATCTCTTGAGTGTGGTCTGGACTTGGTGACTTGGGTTCAGAATAGAATAGGGAGAGGCCAGTTGGGGTGGCTCATGCCTGTAATCTCAGCACTTTAGGAGGCCAAGGTGGGAGGATTGCTTGGGCCCAAGAGTTGGGAGACTAGCCTAGGCAACATAGCTAGACCCCATCTCTATTTTTAAGTTTTTATTTCTTATTTTATTTTTTAAAACATAGTCTCACTTTGTCATCCAGGCTGGAGTGCAGTGACTCAATCTTGGCTCAATGCAACCTCCAATTCCTGGTTCAAGCAACTCTCTTGCCTCAGCCTCCCAAGTAGCTGGGATTACAGGCAGGCACTGCCACCATGCCTGGTTAATTTTTTGTATTTTTAGTAGAGACTGAGTTTCATCACGTTGATCAGGCTGGTCGCAAACTCCTGACCACAAATGATCTGCCCACCTCTGTCTCCCAAAGTGCTGGGATTACAGGTGTTAGCCACCTCTCCCAGCTCCCGTGTCTATTTAAAAAAAAAAATAGAGTTGGGGCCAGGCACGGTTGCTCACCCCAGGTGAGGTAGCTCACACCTGTAATCCCAGCACTCTGGGAGGCAGAGGTTGGCAGATCACAAGGTCAGAAGATTGAAACCATCCTGGCCAACATGATGAAAACCAGTCTCAATTAAAAATACAAAAAAACTAGCTGGGTGTGGTGATGCATACCTGTAGTCCCAGCTACTCGGGAAGCTGAGGCAGGAGAATCACTTGAACCTGGGAGGCAGAGATTGCAGTGAGCTGAGATGGTGCCACTGCACTCCAGCCTGGGTAACAGAGTGAGACTCCGTCTTGGAAAAAAAAAAAGATTACAGACCTAAGGAGACACATGGGCGATGCAGCATAGTATCCTAAATGGGATCCAGGAACAGAAAAAGAACATTAGGCCGGGTGCAAAGACTCATGTCTGTCTATAATCCCCGCACTTTGGGAGGCTGAGGCAGGGGGATCACTTGAGCCTAGGAGTTCAACACCAGCCTGGGCAACATGGTAAAACCCCATTTCTACAAAAAATTAGCCAAGTGTGGTGGCAAGCGTGGTGGTACAGACATGTAGTCCCAGCTACTCAGGAGGTTGAGGCAGGATGATCACCTGAGTCCCAGAGGAGAGGAAGGGAGGGCAGAAGGAAAGAAAGAGGGAGGGAGGGAGGGAGGGAGGGAGGAAGGAAGGAAGGAAGGAAGGAAGGAGGGAGGGAGGGAGGGAGGGAAGGAAGACAGGAAGGCATTAGTGGAAAAACTAATTAAATCCAGATAACCAGGTATGGTGGCTCATGCCTGTAATCCCAGCACTTTGGGAGGCCGAGGCCGGTGGATCACGAGGTCAGGAGTCCGAGACAAGCCTGGCCAATATGGTGAAACCCTGTCTCTACTAAAAATGCAAAAATTAGTCGGGCGTGGTGGCACTTGCCTGTAGTCCCAGCTACTCAGGAGGCTGAGGCAGGAGAATTGCTTGAACCTGGGCAGCAGAGGTTGCAGTGAGGCAAGATCATGCCACTGCACTCCAGCCTGGGTGACAGAGCAATACTCCGTCTCCAAAAAAAAAAAAAATTCCAAGTAAATCTGGAGCTCAGCTAGTGATTGTCATTAACATTACTTGGATTTAATTAGTTTTGACAAATGCACTATGGTAATCTAAGACAATATTATAGGAAGCTGAGTGAATAAAGGAGAACTCTCTTGAGGGGTTGTGGTTTTTTTTTGAGATGGGGTCTTGCTCTGTCACCTAGGCTAGAATGTGGAGGTGAGATTGTAGCTCACTGCAACCTTGAACTAATCTCAAGAAATTCTCCCACTTTAGCCTCCCTGGTAGCTGGGATTACAGGTGCAAGCCACCATGCCCAGCTAATTTTTGTATTTTCAGTAGAGACAGGGTTTCACTGTGTTGGCCATGCTGATCTCAAGCTCCTACCCTCAGGAGATCCACCTGTCTTGGCCTCCCAAAGTGCTGGGATTACAGGCGTGAGCCACCGAGCACAGTGGACTCTCTCTGTTAAAAAAAAAAAAAATTAGGCCAGCACAGTGGCATATGCCTGTAATCCCAGCACTTTGAGAGGCTGATATGGGCAGATCTCCTGAGGTTAGGAGTTCGAGACTAGCCTGGCCAACATGGTGAAAACCTGTCTCTACTCAAAATACAAAAATTAGCCGGCATGGTGATGGGCGTTTGTAATCCTAGCTACTCAGGAGGCTGAGGCAGGAGAATCACTTGAACTCGGGAGGTGGAGGTTGCAGTGAGTCGAGTACAAGCCGTCGTACTCCAGCCTGAGTGACAGAGTGAGACTCTGTCTCAAAAAACAAACAAACATTCTTGCTTTGTTGCCCAGGCTGGTCTCAAACTCTTGGCCTCAAAGCATCCTCCCGCCTCAGCCTCCCAGAGTGCCGGGATTACAGAGGCTAGCCACTGCACCCAGCTCCCTTGACTATCTCTGCAACTTCTCTGTAAATCTAAAATTATTCCAAATGAAAAGTTTATTAAACGTAGATATTATATATTATGTGTGTCATATTGTGAAGCCTGGGGGGAAAGACAATAATTTAAAAAAAGGATTCTGACTTGGCTCTGGTTGAATAACAAAGAAAACACAATGAAAAAGAAAAAAAGAAAAGAAAAGAGACCAAGCAGAGACCTCTGAAGCTGCATTTAAGGAAGCATGGGGAAGGAGGGGAGTAAGTAGCAAGCCAAATGAAATTGTAGGTTGGATCGGGGTTAAGTCTTTTAGACTTTATCCTGTGGCATGGGGAGTCATTGAAGGCTACTGAGCAAGGGCGTGGCCTGATTACAGAGTGACTCAGCCCAAGGTCACACAGTCCAGCTTCCCTCAATCCTTCCTTCCCCGTACCCACTGCCCCTTCCTTCCACATGCTCTTCCTTCTTTGTCTCCAGAGGCCTAGCTCTGGTATGACTCACTAGCATAGAGATGATCATCTTCATTGCCCACACCTGCCCCAAACGGGTTCAGGTGTCTTAAAGACTCAACATTTCTTTTTCTTTTTCTATTTTTGAGAAGCAGTCTTGCTCTGTCACTCAGGCTGCAGCGGTGCAATCTCTGCTCACTGTAACCCCTGCCTCCCAGGTTCAAATGTTTCTCGTGAGCCTCCAGAGTATCTGGGATTTCAAGTGGGCACCACCATGCCTGGCTAATTTTTGTATTTTTAGTAGATGGGGTTTCATCATGTTGGCCAGGTTGGTCTTGAACTCCTGGCCTCTATCTGCCTTGGCCTCCCAAGTGCTGGGATTTTGATGTGGGCTGCCTCACCTGGCCCTCAACATTTATTTTTTATTCTCATTCTGTTGCCCAGGCTGGAGCGCAGCAGCACAATCATAGCTCACTGCAGCTTCAAATGCCTGTGCTCAAGTGATCCTTCTGCCTCAGCCTCCTGAGTGGCTGAGACTACCGGTAAGGCTCAACATTTAGAATCTCAACATGCCACACCTTTCAACCAGTCCAGCACAGAGACCCCTGGGTGGGGAGTTGCAGGGTGGAGTCTTATGCAAAATTCCACAAGTTTTATGTTGAGTCATTTCTTCTACCACACCCGCTCTGCACACTCCTTCCTCCTCGTGAGATAAGTCCAATCCATGGCTGGAGGAAGGGGGCTCAGGAGCAAAAGAAGATGGGGCTTCAAGACTAAACCAGAATATTGTGCCACCAGGAGAATTTTCTTTTTTAAAAAAAATTAATTTATTTATTATTATTTTTAAAAATGGCGTTTCACCATGTTGGTCAGGCTGGTCTTGAACTCCCGACCTCAGGTGATCCGTCCGCCTGGGATTATAGGCGTGAGCCACCACACCCGGCCCAGAGAATTTTCTATTCTCTTTTCAACAGGCCTTCTTGAAACCACAAATAGGTCCAGGTCAGAAGCTGGGGGGAAGGAAGTTGGATATAAAAAGAAAGGAGTTGAAGGGGAAGAAATGTATTTGTGTACTTTTCTCCTGCCAGCAGTAGCAGCAATGAGAGTGCAAGGCTAGAATTAATTAGATTCTCACACCCCAATTAAGCCAGTTTTCTCCATCCTGGTTGTTAACAAAAGGCTAACATTATTAAACAATCTGTTCTGTGCCAGGCACTGTATGCATAACTCCATTGGTTTCTCATGGCAAGTCTGTATTAGTATACCCATTTTATAATTGAGAAAACTGATGCTTGGAGAAGGTAAGTGATGTGCCTGGGTTTATGCAGCTACAATGTGACCAAACTGGCAAAGAGCAAAACCAATTCAAGTCTTCAGAAGACTGCATGGGTTGGAAAATGCTCTAGGGGAATTTCATCTTGCAGGGGAGGAGGAAATAGTTTTATAGTAAAATCCTTATTCCTTTCAGGGTATTCAGCGCCCACTTCTGACTCCTGCCATGACCAGAGTGGCCACAGCACGGAGAGAACCTCTGACCTCAAAGCCAAGCCCTTTGTTTTTGCCCAGAAGTGTACATCCCCATATCGGCACGGGGTCCCTCCTCACTTCATTCAAGTCTCTGCCTAAAATCAGAGAAGCCTTCTCTGATCACCCTATCCAAATGACAACCTTCATCACCCTGTAGCCTCATAATCCATCTAATTTGTCTTCATAGCACATACCACACCTTGACATATTTATAGACATTTCTTTGCTTATTGACGGTCTCTACCCACTAGAATGTAAACTCCATGAGGACAGGACCTGATCTGTTTTGTTCGCTGCTGTATTCACAATGCCTGGAATAGTCCCTGACATATAGTAGGCCCCTAACAAACATGTGGAGTTGCGGCTGGGCGTGGTGGCTCAAGCCTGTAATTCCAGCACTTTGGGAGGCCAAGGCGGGTGGATCACGAGGTCAACAGATCGAGACCATCCTGGTCAACATGGTGAAACCCAATCTCTACTAAAAACACAAAAAATTAGCTGGGCATGGTGGCGTGTGCCTGTAATCCCAGCTACTCAGGAGGCTGAGGCAGGAGAATTGCCTGAACCCAGGAGGCGGAGGTTGCGGTGAGCAACCATTGCACTCCATTGCACTCCATCGCGCCATTGCACTCCTCCACTCCAGCCTGGGTAACAAGAGCAAAACTCTGTCTCAAAAAAAAAAAAAAATGTGGAGTTTTTGTTTGTTTGTTTTGAGACAGATTCTTGCTTGTCACCCAGGTTGCAGTGCAGTGCCGCAATCTCAGCTCACTGAAACCTCTGCCTTCTGGGTTCAAGCGATTCTCCTGCTTCAGCCTCCCAAGTAGCTGGGATTACATGCCTGTGCCACCATGACTCACTGATTTTTATATTTTAAGTAAAGACAGACCATATTGAGCAGGCTGGTCTTAAACTCTTTGCCTCAAGTGATTCAGCTTCCCAAAGTGCTGGAATTACAGACATGAACCACCCCACCCGGTCACAAATATGTGTTGAATGAATAAAAGGGAAAATTCAGCTTGCCTTCACTAAGAGTATTTGACACTCCCGCTTCCATCGGCTGCTAAATTCATCTTACCCTCAAAGTGTTGCTCCTTTTTCCTCTCTTCAGGGACTTCTCCCTCATCTTCCCCAGCCCAGGGATTCATACAGCCACCTACCCAGCTACTCCAGCCAGGAACCGGAAGACATCCTCACCACCTCCTTCTTTCTTCCCACCTCTGTCCACCCCCCGACTCCCCTCTATTTCCAGTGTTCACTTAATCACCAGCTCCAGTCCATTCTGCCTCTTTTAAAAACTTTTTTGAGACAGGGTCTCACTCTGTTGCCCAGGCTGGTCTCGAACTCCTAGACCCCAGTAGTCCTCCCACCTCTGCCTCCCAAAGTGCTGGGATTACAGGCATGAGCTACTATGCCTGGCCTCCATTCTACCTCTTAATTATCTCCTAAATCTGCCCATATCTCCTAATCTTTGCTATGCCCCCTCTACCAGGCAACCTTCCTATTTTGCCTGGATTACTGCATCAACCTTCTCACCAGCCTCCTGCCTCCAGTTTGGCCCCTGCCAGTCAGTCTCCACTGGCTGATTGGTCTAAAGCTCAAATTGTCTGGGTAAACAAAGAATTGAGTCCTTAGTGGCCGGAGATAAAGTCCAAGATCTTAATGTGGGTTACCAAGCCCTGCCCCATCTGGCATAGCCTCATTCTTAGCCATACTCTGCTTCTGCCTGTTTAAACTATTTCCAGTTCCCTAAATGTGCTCTGATAGTTCTTTTGCCTAGGAGCTCTGGCCAACTCCTGCTCATCATTTAGGCCTCAGCTTGGATGTTGCTTTCTCCAGGAAGGCCTCCTTGACTTCTTCTGCCTAATTAGGCTGGGCTAAGCATCCTTAGTGTATCTTAGTATATAGTCAGGGCATTCTCCCTACCTGGAGGACTGCCAGTGGTCACCTGGTCCAATTTCCAGCCTTTTCTATTTCTTGATCACTGCTTGAATAGCCTTCTCTGCTTCTCTGAGGCCTCTCACCCTTCATGACCCATCTTCAAGTATGGACTTGTCTAGAAAACTCTCTGGGAAGTAAAAAGAAGGCAGCCTCTGAATCAGGATGCCCCTAGCTCAAGCCACCTCTGCCACTTAGTGATACAACCTTGGGCATGACACTGTAAAATGGAGATAACATCACTATCTACATCACAATTATTATAAGTAAAATTATAAATGTGAAGGGACAATTGGCTGGGTGTGGTGGCTCATGACTGTAATTTCAGCACTTGAGGAGGTGGGGAGATTATCAGAGGTCAGAAGGTCAAGACCAGCCTGGCCAACATGGCAAAACCCTGTCTCTACTAAAAACACAGAAATTTCCCAGGCGTGGTGGCATGTCCCTATAATTTCAGCTATATGGGAGGCTGAAGCAGGAGAACTGCTTGAACCCCAGAGGCAGAGGTTGCAGTGAGCCGAGATTGTACCGAGATTAGACAAGAGCAAAACTACATCTCAAAAAAAAAAAAAAAAAAAAGAGCTGGGCGTTGTGGCTCACGCCTATAATTCCAGCACTTTGGGAGGCCGAGGCGGGCAGATCACGAGGTCGAGAGATAGAGACCATCCTGGTCAACATGGTGAAACCCCGTCTCTACTAAAAATCCAAAAAATAGCCGGGCATGGTGGCACGTGCCTGTAGTCCCAGCTACTCGGGAGACTGAGGCGGAAGAATCGCTTGAATCCGAGAGGCAGAGGTTGCAGTGAGCCGAGATTGCGCCATTGCACTCCAGCCTGGTGAAAGAGCAAGACTCCATCTAAAAGAAAGAAAGAAAGAAAGAAGGAAGGAAGGAAGGAAGGAAGGAAGGAAGGAAGGAAGGAAGGAAGGAAGGAAGGAAGGAAGGAAGGAAGGAAAAAGAAAGAGAGACAGAGAGAGAGAGAGAGAGAGAGAAAGAAAGAGCCAGGCACAGTGGCTCGCGCCTATAATCCCAGCACTCCAACACTTTGGGAGGCCAAGGCAGGTGGATCACAAGGTCAGAAGTTCAAGACCAGCCTGACCAAGATAATGAAACTCTGTCTCTACTAAAAATAGAAAAATTAGCCAAGCCTGGTTGCAGGCACCTGTAATCCCAGCTCCTTGGGAGGCTGAGGTAGGGAATTGCTTGAACCTGGGAGGTGGAAGTTGCAGTGAGCTGAGATTGTGCCACTCACTTCAGTCTGGGCTACAGAGAGAGATTTTTGTCTCAAAAAAAAAAAAATGTAAAAGGACAATGTAAACACTACAGTGTGTTATAGAAACATGAGTATGATTATTCTCTGCTGGCACTGTGACCTGCCATTTGTATTTCATTATGTCCTGCCTCCAGTAATCTCTCTACAACGAGTGTGGAAGCCAGCTGGGATCATCTCTTCTCTAGCTCTTCCACATCCCCTGGACTTCAGAGATTGGTGCCAAGCAAATAGAAGGTGTATGTGATTATAACCAACTACCATTTATTGATCACCTACTATGCACCAACGACTTTACATGTGTTACAGTCAGTCGCTGCATAATGATGTTTCACTCAACTATAGACCACATATATGACATTGGTTCCATAAGACCGTAATACCATGTTTTTTGTTTTTTTTTTTGAGATGGAGTCTCACAGTGTTTCCCAGGCTGTAGTGCAGTGGCGCAATCTCGGCTCACTGCAATCTCCACCTCCTGGATTCCAGCAATTCTCCTGCCTCAGCCTCCCGCGTAGCTGGGACTACAGGCATGCATCACCATGCCCAACTAATTTTTTTGTATTTTAGTAGAGATGAGGTTTCACCTTGTTGGCCAGGCTGGTCTCGATCTCTTGACCTCATGATCCTCCTGCCTTGGCCTCCTAAAGTGCTAGGATTACCGCGCCTGGCCACCATGTTTTATTATACCTTTTTTTTATATTTAGGTGTGTTTAGATATACAAACACTTACCATTTTGTTACAATTGCCTACAGTGTTCAGTATACTAACATTTTGTATAGGTTTGTAGCCTAGGAGCAATAGGCTATGTCCTATAGCCTACGTATGTAGTAGGCCATACTATCTAGGTTTAAGTACACCCTATGATGTTTGCATGACAAAATCACCTAAGAATGCATTTCTCAGAATGTATCTTTGTTGTTAAGTAATGCATAGCTGTATTTCTAATTCTCACAACTACCCAGGAGACAAGTCAGTTTACCTCCACGATGCAATCTGAGGCTTAGAAAAATTAAATAACTTGTCCAAGGTCACAGAGCTGTTGCAGTCAGGAACCTTGGAATCTTTCTGGCACTTCCCCCAGCTTGATGTTAACAGGCTCATGGCCTTCCTCCTGCTGCTTCCTCTCTTGGTCATCAACTGAGCTATGTCCAGAGGAGAAAAAAGAAATCAAACTTGGGGCCTGGCAAAGGAGGTGGCTGTCATGCCACAGACAAGACACAGGGACAGGAAGAGACTTTGATTTTTATTTTATTTTATTTTTGAGTGGAGTTTCATTCTTGTTGCCCAGGCTGGAGTGCAGTGGCAAAAACTTGGCTTGCTGCAACCTCTACCTCCCAGGTTCAAGTGATTCTCCTGCCTCAGCCTCCTGAGTAGCTGGGATTACAGGTGCCTGCCACCATGCCTGGCTAATTTTGTATTTTTAGTGGAGATGGGATTTCACCATGTTACCCAGGCTGGTCTTGAACTCCTGACCTCAGGTGATCTGCCCACCTCAGCCTCCCAAAGTGCTGGGATTACAAGCACAATCCACTGCGCCCAGACAGGCAGAGACTTTTATTTTTTAGATGGAGTCTCACTCTGTCGCCTGGGCTGGAGTGCAGTGGTGCTATCTCAGCTCACTGCAACCTCTGCCTCCTGAGTTAAAGGAATTCTCCTGCCTCAGCCTCATGAGTAGCTGAGATTACAGATGCGCATCACCACACCCAGCTCATTTTTGTATTTTTCATAGAGACGGGGTTTTATCATGTTAGTCAGGCTGATCTCGAACTCCTGACCTTGTGATCTGCCCGCCTCGGCCTCCCAAAGTGCTGGGATTACAGGGGTGAGCCACCAGGCTGGCCGGAGGAGACTTTTGGAATGAAAATTAAGATGCAGCTTCACCCAGAGCAGTTTCACAAAGCCCTGGTTCTGTGAATGCCGAGTGTGTGAAAAGCCTTGGGACATCTTGTAGCTGTGTCAGCACTGAAGTGCTGTCCACGTCTTACACATGGAAAGTAGATCAGAATAGGATCTGTTAGTTAGCCAGATCACTCACAGTAAGGGAGTGGTCCGCTGTTACTCACAAGGATTTCTATCTTCCCCTGACAAAGATTTTGCTGCAGGAAGAGAAGATGCAGGATTCATCGCGAACCACGAGGTGGCACTGTGAGAGGAGGGCACACAAATTACCCAATTAGACCCTCTGGACGTGAAGGATTAGAAGAATTTTACAGCAGAGAAATGTAGAGTAAACGCCCCCTTTTACAGAAGAGATATGAGGTCCAGAGAAGTTATCCAAGTTGTCCATTTTTGTGGTTTAGCCAATACCAAAAACCCAGGTCTGTTTGTTTCTAAGTCTGGTGAACTTAACCTTTAATGCTCACCAAATCACATCTACAGATTCCCACCCATTCATGGTGTGATCTTACTCAAGTCACTGATGTATTTCTGGGTCTCAGTCTTCCTGACCATAGAATGTAGGACTAATCTAGATCAGTGGAAGGTTTTTTTTCATATTTTTATCGTTTGAGATGGAGTCTCACTCTGTTACCCAGGCTGGAGTACAGTGGCATGATCTTGGCTCACTGCAACCTCTTCCTCCCAGACTCAAGCGATTCTCCTGCTTCAGCCTCCCGAGTAGCTGAGATTACAGGCATGCACCACCACACCCAGCTAATTTTTTGTGTTTTTAGTAGAGATGAGGTTTCACCATGTTGTCAGGCTGGTCTCAAAATTCTGACCTCAGGTGGTTCCTCCACCTCAGACTCCCAAAGCTCTGGGGAGCCACCATGCCTGGCTTTTTTTTTTTTTTTTTTTTTTTTAAGGACTGGAGGTTTAATAGGGAAGAGAAAGAGAAAACAGCGCTCGCTCGCTCTCTCTCTCTCTCTCTCTCTCTCTCTCTCTCTCTCTCTCTCTCTCTTTCTAGTGAGAGAGAGGGGACTTCTGAGAGCAAAAGGCTGGCCAGTGACAGATGCACCGGATTTTATTTGCAGGCTGAAGGAGGTACTGTCTGCATGCACAGAGAGTATAGGAGACATGGCGGTCATGGACAGAAAAGGAGGAGATGATGATAGGAAAGTTGGAGATCCTGTTGCTGATACCCCATTGGGTGGTCAGAGGCTGGGGTCAGTTCAGAAGCCTTTGGATAACACCAGGGATAGCCCCAGCCAGAAATCCTCAGTTGCTTACAGGTCCTCTTCCAGCCCCATGTGACAGCTAAGTCCTCTGTGAAAGGAAGCTGGTTCAAACATAGCTAATGTGCTCAGTGACCTGTGGGTACTGGGGGATTCTCCATGTTCCCGCCCCCAGCAAGCCTCACATCCAAGTCTTTAAGAACACAGCCACTCTAATCTCATTCTTAAATGGCTGAAGGATGCGTGTTATTGATTTGACTTGGTTCTAAAGTGGAGGCCAGATGTGGTGGCTCATGCCTGTAATTCCAGCACTTTGGGAGGCCGAGGCTAGCAGATCACCTGAGGTCAGGAGTTCAAGACCAGCCTGGCCAACTTGGCAAAACCCCATCTCTACTAACAATACAAAAATTAGCTCAGCATGGTGGTACAGGCTTGTAATCTCAGCCTACTTGGGAGGTTGAGGCAGGAGAATCACCTGAACCCAGGAGGTAGAGGTTGCAGTGAGTCAAGATCACACCATTGTACTCCAGCCTGGCTGAGAGAGGGAGACCCTGTCCCAAAATAAAATAAAATAAAATGGAGGCTGAGAGCTCCAAAATGAAAGGACAGAGTTGGAGTCCACTCCTCTACTCACCATTTTGATGAACGATGTACCTTGGTGTCCTGGATGAGGTCTCCAATATGAAGCAGCTACACTGTCTGGGGTAAATACCCAGGGTTCATCATCTTGTGCCAAGAAAATTTAGGACATGAATACACACGAGGAGTTTAGGAGCGGAGGTTTAATAGACAAAGAGAAGGGCCGGGTGCGGTGGCTCACGCCTGTAATCCCAGCACTTTGGGAGGCCGAGGCGGGTGAATCACGAGGTCAAGAGATCGAGACCATCCTGGTCAACATGGTGAAACCCCGTCTCTACTAAAAATACAAAAAAAATAGCTGGGCATAGTGGCGCGTGCTTGTAATCCCAGCTACTCGGGAGGCTGAGGCAGGAGAATTGCCTGAACCCAGGAGGCGGAGGTAGCGGTGAGCCAAGATCACGCCATTGCACTCCAGCCTGGGTAACAAAAGCGAAACTCCGTCACAAAAAAAAAAAAAAAAAAAAAAAATAGACAAAGAGAAAGAGAAAGGAAAACAGCTCTCTCCCTAGTGAGGGAGTAGGGACTTCTGAGAGGAAAAGCCGCCCCCCAACACTTTTTTTTTTTTTTTGAGCTGGAGTCTTGCTTTGTCACACAGGCTGGAGTGCAGTGGCACTATCTGAGTTCACTATAACCTCCACCTCCCAGGTTCAAGCGATTCTCCTGATTCAGCCTCTTGAGTAGCTGGGACTATAGGCACACGTTACCACGCCCAGCTAATTATTGTATTTTTTTGTACAGACAGTGTTTTGCCATGTTGGCCAGGCTGGTCTCGAACTCCTGACCTCACATGATCCACCTGCCTCACCCTCCCAAAGTGTTGGGGTTACAGGTGTGAGCCATCTCGCCTCGTCATCTGTTTCTTATTGTCTACACAGATGTATAGCCTAGATCTGTGATGTCAGTGTGGTAGCTACTAGCCACATGTGGCTATTTGAATTAATAAAACTTTTAAAACTTTTAAAATTTAAAAAATTTAAAATTCCATTCTCAGTCACACTAGCAACATTTCAAGAACTGAATAAATGATTTTAAATAGTGGTTGTCATATTGGACAGCATAAATATAAAACATTTTCATTATCACAAATAGTTCTAAACAGTACTGTGGAATGGAAACATTGAGATGGTAGCTCAGGTCCTTCCAGCTGTGGTATCTCATAGCTCCTTTATGTGAGCATTGGAGGGTGTAGGATTCCAGCTCTCAGCCTGAGTTTTCTCTTTTTTTTGAGACAAAGTCTCATTTCGTCAGTCAAGCTGGAGTGTAGTGGTACAGTCTTGGCTCACTGCAACCTCCACCTCCTAGGTTCAAGTGATTCTCCTGCTTTAGCCTCTTCAGTAACTGAGATTACAGGTGTGCACCACCATACCCAGCTAATTTTTGAATTTTTAGTAGAGACGGGGTTTTGGCCACACTGGTCTTGAACTCCTGACCTCAAGTGATCTGCCTGCCTCAGTCTCCCGAAGTGCTGGGATTATAGATATGAGCCACTGTGCCCAGCCTCATCCTGAGTTCTTAACCAAATACAAGCACTGGGAGATAAAGAAGATGATAAGATAGATAAACATCTTCCCTTTGGTATCTTTCTTTTTTTTTTTTTTTTTGTAGAGATGGGGTTTCACCATGTTGGCCAGGCTGGTCTTAAACTCCTGACCTCAGGTGATCCGCCTGCCTTGGCCTCCCAGAGTGCTGGGATTACAGGCATGAGCCACTGTGCCCAGCCACATCTTCTCTTTGTAAAGTCGAGTTTGTTTTTTTTTTTTTGAGACAGGGACTGACTCTGTCACCCAGGCTGGAGTACAGTGGTGTAATCATGGCTCACTGCAGCCTTGACCTCCTGGGCTTAAGCAATCCTCCCATCTCAGCCTCCCCAGTAGCTGAGACCAGTTGTGAGCCACTGCACCCAGCCCTATCATCTTTTATTTTTCCCTGATGTGAATGGCTCACTGCAACTTCTGCCTCCTCCTGCCTCCCAGGTTCAAGCAATCTCTCACCTTAGCTGGGATTACAAGCATAAGCCACCATGCCCAGCTACCAATTTGAGTTTTAAGAGTTATTTTCTTTATATAATCTAAGATATTAATTAGACCCAATATTTTCTCCATCTGTGCCTTGTCTGTTCATTCATTTCATGTTATCTTTTGAAGAGCAGAAGTTCTTAATTTTGATGAAGTCTGATATCAATATTTTTATGGATTATGCTTTTGTGGTTCTAGCTAAGAAATGTTTATCAGCCAGGTGAGGTGGCTCACACCTGTAATCCCAGTACTTTGGGAGGCTGAGTGGGCAGATCAACTGAGGTTGGGAGTTTGAAACCAGCCTGACCAACATAGAGAAATCCCGTCTCTACTAAAAATACAAAAAATTATCCAGGCATGGTGGCACATGTCTGTAATCTGACCTATTCAGGAGGCTGAGGCAGGAGAATCGCTTGAACCTGGGAGGTGAAGGTTGCAGTGAGCCAAGATTGCGCCTTTGCACTCCAGCCTGAGCAACAAGAGTAAAACTCTATCTCAAAAAAAGAAAGAAAGAAAGAAAGAAAGAAAGAAAGAAAGAAAGAAAGAAAGAAAGAAAGAAAGAAAGAAATCTTTGTCTAACTCAAGGTCATGAAGCATTTCAATTTCCTCTAGAAATTTATACCATTGGGGCTGGATGCGGTGGCTCACACCTGTAATCCCAGCACTTTGGGAGGCTGAGATGGGTGGATCATGAGGTCAGGAGTTCAAGACCAGCCTGGCTAAAATGGTGAAACCCTGTCTCTACTAAAAAAAAAAAAAATTATAAATAAATAAATATATATATATATCAGGAGAATTGCTTGAACCTGGCAGGCCAAGATGGTGCCGCTGCACTCCACCTCAGACAACAGTGCAAAACTCCATCTCAAAAAAAAAAAAAGAGTAAAGTAGAGGCATGGTGGCTTACCTGTAATCCCAGCACTTTGGGAGGCTGAGGCAGGCAGATCACGAGGTCAAGAGATCAAGACCATCCTGGCCAATGTGGTGAAACCCCGTCTCTACTAAAAATAAAAAAATTATCTGGGTGTGGTGGTGCATACCTATAGTCCCAGCTACTCGGGAGGCTGAGGCAGGAGAATCTCTTGAACCTGGGAGGTAGAGGTTGCAGTGAGCAGAGATTGCACCACTGCACTCCAGCCTAGGCAACAGAACAAGACTCCCTCTCAAACAACAGCAAAAAGAGTAAGGTAGAATTCACCAGTGAAGCAATCTGGGTCTGGAGTTTTCCTTTTTAAAAAATTATTATTTAAATATATATATATAATAGAGATGGAATCTCTTTATGTTGCCCAGGCTGGTCTCAAACTCCTGGGCTTAAGTGCTCCTCCCACCTTGGCCTCCCAGTCTGGAGTACAGTGGCAAAATTATGACTCACTGTGGTTTCAACATCTTGGGCTTAAGCAATCCTCCCACCTCAGCTTCCCTAGTAGTAGGGTCCAGAGGTGCACACCACCATACCTGGCTAAGTTTTTCAATTTCTTTGGAGAGATCCTCCTGCTTTGGCCTGCTAAAGTGCTGGTAGTACAGGCATGAGCCACTGCACCCAGCAAGTTTTCTTTGTTGAAAGGTTTTATCTACAAATTTAAGTTGTTGAACAGACTACTATGCAAGTTATCTATTTCTTCTTGAGTGAACTTTGGTGGTTAGTGTCATTCAAGGAATTTGTCTATTTCATCTAAGTTATCAAATTTATTGGCATAAAGTTGTTAATAATATTAGCTTAATATCTTTTTAGTTTCTGTATTACTCTGTTCACACACTGTTATGAGGAAATATCAAAGACTGGGTAATTTATAAAGGAAAGAGATTTAATCAACTCACAGTTCTGCATTGCTGGGGAGGCCTCAGGAAACTTAAAATCATGGCAGACGGCAAAGGAGAAGCAGGTACCTTCTTCATAAGGAGACAGAATGGAGTGAGTGCAAGCAGGGGAAATGCAAGACGCTTATAAAACCATCAGATATCGGCTGGGCATGGTGGCTCATGCCTATAATCCCAGCACTTTGGGAGGCTGAGGTGGGCGGATCACTTCAGGTCAGGAGTTTGAGACCAGCCTGGCCAACTTGGTGAAGCCCCACCTCTACTAAAAATACAAAAATTAGCCAGGCATGGTGGTGGGCACCTGTAATCCCAGCTACTTGGGAAGCTGAGGCAAGAGAATCGCTTGAACCTGGGAGGCGGAGGTTGCAGTGAGCTGAGATCATGCCATTGCACTCAAGCCTGAGCAACAAGTGAAACTCCGTCTCAAATTAAAAAGAAAACAAAACAAAAACCATTAGATATCACGAGACTCACTCATTATTAGGAGAACAGCATGGGGGTAAACATCCTCATGATTCGAGTACCATCACCTGGTCCTGCCCTTGACACATGGTGATTATGAGGATTACAATTCAAGGTGAGATTTGGGTGGGAACACAGAGCCAAAACATATCAGTATCTGTAGGTTGTATAGGGATGCTCCCTTTTTCATTCTTAATTTTGTTAGTTCATATCTTCTTATTTTTTTCTTTGATTAGTCTGTCTATTAAGTTTATCAGTTGTTTTTTTTGTTTTTTAATATAGAGATGGAAGGCTGGGCACAGTGGCTCACACCTGTAATCCCAACATTTTGGGAGGCCAAGACAGGCAGATTGCTTGAGTTTAGAAGTTCAAGATCAGCCTGGGTAACAACATGGCGAAACCCTGTCTTTACCAAAAAAAAAAAAAAAAAAAAGGTAGAGATGAGATCTTGCTGTGTTGCCCAGGCTGGTCATATACTTCCTGGCCTCAAGTGATCCTCCAGCCTTAGCCTCCCAAAGTGTTACGATTACAGGCATGAGCCACTGTACCCAGCCAATGTTTTTGGGATCTTTGAAAAGAACTAGCTTTAGGCTTCAGCTTCACTAATTTTTTAGATTATTTCTCTATTTTCTTTTCTTTCTTTCTTTCTTTTTTTTTTTTTGAGACAGAATTTTGCCCTTGTTGCCTAGGCTGGAGTGTAGTGACACGATCTCAGCTCACTGCAAACTTCGCCTCCTGGCTTCCAGTGATTCTCCTGCCTCAGCCTCCTGAGTAGCTGGGATTATAGGCATGCACCACAATGCCCAGCTAATTTTGTATTTTTAGTAGACATGGGGTTTCTCCATGTTGGTCAAACTGGTCTAGAACTCCCAACCTCAGGTGATCCACCCGCTTCAGCCTCCCAAAGTACTGGGATTACAGGTGTGAGCCACAACACCAGCCTATTTTATCTATTTTCAATTTCACTGACTTCTACTCTTTCCCTTATTATTTTCTTTTTTCTGTTTGCTTTAGGTTTAATTTGCTCTCCTTCCAGTTTCTTAAGGTGGAAGCTTAGATTACTGATTTAAAATCTTTCTTGTTAAGTTCGGTGCTGTTAAGAGTTCCCGGGGGTGGAGAGTTGGGGAGAGATAGCATGGGGAGAAATGCCAGATATAGGTGAAGGGGAGGAAGGCAGCAAATCAC